AGGGGGGGGCGACCCCCGCCATCCCCAGGAAGCAGCGAAGGGGAGTGCAGCAGTTCATGCAGGAGGGAGAAGCCGGGTGTATTCAGGGCAGGTATTTTCACATGTGCCCTAGAGGGGTCAGCTGCGAGCACGAGGGATGCTTGGGTGGGCTCTAGCCCCCTCCATGACCAGGCCTGACAGTAGGACAATTGCTGCTCAGCCCGGCCCTTATCTCCTTCCCCTTGGGCTGTTATTAACCAGAGTGGTACCACCAAGTCCCAGCTGAGCCCCCTGCCTGCACAGAGCTGGGACCCCCAGGGAAACAGGACTCACTCCCAGGAAGTGAGAAACCCCCCAGGAAACAGTGAGGCAGATGTGGGGGACCCCACAGAGGGAACAGCAGGTTTGGGGGAGCACCTCCAATGGCACCACGTGGGACATGGGGCTGGCAGGGGCTGCAGCCACCCGCCCTGTGCAGGGGAGAGCCAGGAGAAGGTTAATCCTTCTCCCACCAAGGAAGGCCGGGGAAGCCAGAGGAAGCTCCCACGGCTGTAAGGCACCGGCCAGCAGCTCATCCGCCCCCAGAGCCATTTGATCAGCATCCAGGCGGCATGGCCCCCGAGACACTGTCTGCAGAGGAAGTCTCCAGCAAACACGCAGCCCTGGGCCTGACCAGCCCTTCCCTCCGGCTGCTGGGAGAAGCCTTCGGCCTCACGCAGGCAGGACACAGCCGACAGACGTACAACTGAGCTGCCAAAAACAGCAGCAGGGAAGCCATGAATGCTGTGTCATGCAAAAATAGGTATTGCCCAGGGACTTCTTGGGGGGGCAGCAGTCCCTGGGGCGAGCAGCCGTGACCCCCAACGGGAGGTCACCCCTAAGTGAGAGGGCAGGGTGCACTGAGCACCCCCACATCTCAAGTCCCAGGCAAGGGCTGCACAGGAGCAGGCACCAGGACCTGGGGGTCAGTGGGTGTGAGAGGCAGCCTGAGCACATCACATGCGGCTCCAGCCTGCCCTTGCCCCTGTGCAGAGCCCGCTGTGCTGTCCAGCCCGGAGCAGCGTGGGATGCCGGCCAAGGGGCTGCCGTAGCCCTCCAGAGAGCCCCATCCTTGCACACATCCTTCCCAGCCCCGCCGGGAACAGAGAGCAGCAGCGCTGGAAGTGCCCCCGCTCAGGAGCCACGCTGTGCAAGGGGGTGAGCTCGACTGCACGAAGCGTGCAAGCGATTGTAATTACAGTCACTTAGGCTTTTAAGAAAAGGAAAGAGGCAGTTAAGGCAATTCAACAAATGCAATGTGAGAAAAGACTATTTTAGAAGCACTTACGCTACACACAAGCGATCTCCGGTCCTCCCCACCCGCCTGGAGAAGCCAGGGGATTAGTGACCGCTTGCTCAGACAGCGAGGCTGGGGGAGAACAGCCTCGACAACCAGCAGCAGCAGAGCCCTCCTAGGGGCAAGGGCACCCAGGGCTCGGTGCACCCGGGAGAGCTGCACCCCGAGGTCCCCCATCACCTGCAACCCCCTGCCCAGAGGCACCCAGAAGTGACACCATTGCACCGACAGCTAACGAAGCTGGGGCAGCAGCTAATGAAGCTCCCACAGACGCTGCAACAGACCCAGCGCTGTACAAAAGCTTCAATGGTTTTGAAGAGGATCCCTCGCAGGAACACACAGCAGGAGAAGGCAGAGAAAGGAGCTTTTCAAGACCTCACCAGCATCAATGGGAAGTGTTACGAGTCAGATCCCGGCTACCACAAGCCCTTTCAATGGGGCTTTACAGTGAAGATAAGTGGAAGAATTCAAAGGGGAATGAGAGCAGCTTGAAGTTTAATGAGGACGAGACAGGCAACCGGCCTCTCGTTAGAAAGCGGGCTGT